CCTTTGTAATACTTTAAGCAATAAATTAAAATAAATAAATAAATAAATAAAAGCTAAACAAATGAAAGGAAAAAAAAACCCAAAAAGCAGAACTGCTCCCTTCCTCATGTGAAGGTTCCCATTAGTGGGACCCAACTGTCACAAAGCAATAAAGGAATCAGAAAAATGTGGTTTTTAGATTTCTAGACCTTTGTACAGGGGAGATTATAAAAGAGTGGATGTGGGGATGAGTACCAACAGGCAACATCTGCCACATGTATTCATCATACTTTTGGTTGCAAGTAATAAGTCTCAATTCAAGGTGTGCAAGCAAAAAGGAAATTTATTGACTTATGTGATTTCAGGCAGAAGCAATATAGGTGTTAAAGTGATGTTATCAGGCATCTGTCTCTCTCCCTTAACTATGTTTCATTCTCAGGCAGGCTTGTTGTTCCTGGTGGCAAGGTGTCCACCAGGCTTATGTTCTACCAGCACCTCTATTTGCAGGAAAATCTCTGGATCTGATTTTCACCGGCTCAGATTTCATCATGTGCCCATCTCGGAATTGATCGCTTTGATTCAATCATGGGTTAGGAGACCAACACTGAAGTGGATTGTGGGACTTGTGTGACATAGACTTAGACTGGGGAAAGGATGTGCCAAAAGAAAAATGAGGTGCTGTTACCAATAAAAAGGGAAATAGATACTGCACAGATAACAACAAAGGCAACATGTTCATGACAGGATATTCATCTTGCAGGTTTTTTGTTGCTCTGTATCCAACCCTCCTTCCCTTCTTCAGCTAGACTGAATATTGATATCCCTGGGCATGAAATATCTCAACCTCTTGTTGACTCCCAGTTTATTACCCCGTCTACACCTTTGTCCACACCCCTATCTTTTTAGTCTACCAAGTTAAGGTATCCAATTCTTCTCATGAGTCCTTGATCCCACCTCCTCTCCTTGCCTAGCATCTCACTCCATCTATTTTCTTTACTTTCAAATTCATCTTCTCTACTGGTACCCTTTTGTGGTGTATATCCATGTTCAAATATATATTTTAAAAAGATATGCCCAGCCAGAATGGATCAGTTGGTTGAGCGTTGTCCTGTGCACTGAAAGGCTGTCGGTTTGATTCTTGGCCAGGGCACATACCTGGGTTGCGGGTTCGACCCATGGTTGGGGCATGTATGGAAAGCAATTGATTGATGTTACTCTCTCACATCAATGTTTCTCTCTCTGTCCCCCTTCCTTTCTCTACGCATGTCCTCAGGTAAGGATTAAAAAAACAAAAAACAAATAACCTAAATAAATAAATAAACCAGAATATTTAACTTCATACCACTTTTCAGCTATTGTCTATTCTTTCTTCTAAACTTCTCTATAGGGGTTTCTGCACTTACTTATTCTCCCTCGTTTTCATTTGCTCAACTCATTGCATTGTGGTTCTGCCTCCATTTTCTGCTGATACAGATCACATCTTGGATGTCCATGACCTCCATGCCACAAAATTCAAAGGATACTTTTTTGCCTTAACCTTATTGGAAATCTTTGCTGCATTTGATGCTGTTGACCACTTTTGTCTCCTTGAAAAATCTTTCCTCCCTTGGATATCTTCCATGACATTACTCTCTCCTGATTCTCCTCTTACTCTGTTTCTTCTCAGCTTTCTTTTTGGCCTTCTTTTCTTCTGCTGGCTTCCCAAACACTGACATTCCCAGAGGTTAGTCCTTTTCTCACCCTCTGTGCTTTTCCTGGGAATGTATTAGAATAGTCTTGAAGAAGGGTGTTGAGGAAGTCCTTGCCAGACCTAGAATCTGAGTTATGAATTCCACTCCATATAATATGTAGGAAGATTTAACTCCTTATACATTTTTCCAAATGATAACAACCACCTAGAACAGTGGTTCTCAACTTTCCTAATGCCGCGACCCTTTAATACAGTTCCTCATGTTGTGGTGACCCCCAATTTCATTGTTACAAATTGTTATAATTAAAGCACAGTGATTAATCACAAAAACAATATGTAATTATATATGTGTTTTCCGACGGTCTTAGGCGACCCCAGTGAAAGGGTCGTTTGACTGTTAAGGGTTCGCGATCCACAGGTTGAGAACCGCTGACCTAGCATAAAGAAAGTTTATTAGATCAACTACAATAAAAAATACAATATTCAAGCAATGCTTATATGTAGTGGTAGAAAATGCTGCCTTTGCTCCATTAAGTGTCTTTGATGCTAATAGAGATGAAAGTTCTATTCTTCCATATCTAGGTAACATGGATGCCAACTTTCTGGTGATGCATAAAGCCAGTGCTCTTGGTGATTCTCTCAATGGAGTTGTTTCTTTGTTTCTTTTTCTTTTTTTAAAATTGATTTCAGAGAGAAAGGGAGAGGGAAAGATAGAAACAGCAATGATGAGAGAGAATCATCGATTGGCTGCATCCTGTACAACTCCTACTGGGGATCAAGTCCGCAACCCGGGCATGTGCCCTGACCGGGAATCGAACCCAGGACCTTTCAGTTCGCAGGCCGATGCTCTATCCACTTAGCCAAACTGGCTAGGGATGGGATTGTTTCTAATTCAAGATTTTCTTGATAGGACCAAAGTAATAATTTTTCAAATTTGCTGCCTGGGACCCACATTGTTAGAACCACACATAATATCTGAGGTGGTTCATAGGCTGTCTGCTCCTAGGCCTTGGAGAGCATCAGAAGGGAGAAGAGATACAATAGTGAAAGGATGGATAAAGGGCACAAGTTGACTCCCCATTGAGCAGGAGGCTTTGCAGACATAGATCAGGGATTCAGGAAGACTGTGTATGGGTCAAACTGCACAGTGTGTGAACTGCACAATTTTCTTTGTGCACCTTAGCTAATTAGATGCCTCTCCCCACCCTCATCATCCTATCTGTGTGCCTCTGGTTACCTGAAGAGATTTCCCTGGATATTGCAGCCCTCCTGCCCAATGGACTGAGAAGACAAGTATTCTGGCGGGCTCTTCGTAAACTGATGATATTTCTGGATTTTTTTAATTGCTCAAGCAGAAGTCTGGAATTCATCCTTCCATAGCCAATCAATTGATTACTAATATCTGTGAATCCTACCCCCTATTTAAACCTATGCAATTGTCTCCATTCCTACTCCCACAACTAATCATCTCCCACCTAGACTACATGAACAGCTTCCTAACTGGTCCCCACACTGAGAGCCAATTTTACTCTTCCCATCTATTCTCCACTTAGCAGCCAGAAGTGAGCTTCTGAAATGCAAAGATGAACATGCCACCCCTCTGCCTCAAGCCCTTTGATGATTTTCCATTGCCCTTAAAATAAAGTCCAAACCCTTAGCAAACCCTTACAAGGCCCTCCTTGATTTGGCACATACTACCTTTTCAGTTCATCTTATGCCACTCTTCTCCACTGTCACCCATACTGGCCTTCTTGTGCTTCTCCTTTGACTTGGAATAATTTTCTCTTCTGGCTGACCTTCTCCTTTACCCTATTCCCCTCACATAAGTGCCAATTCCTTATGGAAAGCCTTCCCCAACCTCTCCAGGCTAAATTTAGTTCACTCATAGCATCCTGTACACCTCCTTCAGATACTCATCACAAATAGCTAAGATCTGGAAATAGCCCAAGTGCCTATTAGCAGATGAATGGATAAAAAAGCTATTACACGTTGATACTATGGAATACTATGCAGCTGTAAAAAAAGGGATCTCTTACCCTTTGGGACAGCATGGATGGACCTGGAAAATATTATGCTAAGTAGAAATAAGCCAATCTGAGAAAGATAAGTATCACATGATCTCACTTATTTGTGGAATCTAATGAACAAAATGAATTGACCAACAAAATAAGACTGAAGCAGAGGCATGGAACAGACTGACATACCTTTATGTGGGGCTGGGGGACGAGACTAGATAAACCAAAGAACTTATATACTTATTAGAGGCCCAGTGCACGTAATTCGTGCATTTGAGGGGTATCCCTCAGCCCGGCCTGCGCCCTCTTGCAATCCGGGACTCCTTGGGGGATGTCCGTCAGCCTCTCACAATCTGGGACTGCTCACCCCTAACTGCTCGCCTGCCTGCCTGCCTTCCTGCCTGCTTGCTCCTAACTGCTCACCTGCCTGCCTGCTCAGTGCGCATCATAGTGACCGGTCGTTCCCGTCATTCCAACTGTTCCGCCATAATGGTCGCTTAGGTTTTATATAGATAGATATGCATAGCCCATGGACATGGGCAATAGAATAGTGAAGACCTGGGAGAGGGTACGTAGGGGCTGGGAAGGGAAGGAGGGGAAATGGGAGATATCTGTAATACTATCAACAATAAAAAAATATTTTTAAAAAAGATACTCATCACATTTCTCATCATATGTTTAATGTCTCTTTCCCATTATTCAAGCTTCAAGAAGGTAGAAATGCAATCTTGTTTCTTTATGTGTTCCTAGCACCAAGGACAGTGCCTCACACCTAATAATTATTTGTTGAAAGAGAATGAATGAACAAGGACAACTTTCTTTTTCTGGGTAACTCTTATTCACCTGTCAAGGACCAAGGCCAGATGTTATATCCTCCAGGTTGGGTTACAGTCAAATCTGATACATCTTTGGATCCCTAGGGCCTAGTGTGGAACTTTGGTACATGATTCATATATCAGAGATATTTGTCAAATAATAAACTCTTGGCCAGGAGTTGATAATTATTGAAACTGAGTAATGGGTATATGAGTAGGGTTCATTACACTGTTCTTTCTCCTTTCATCTATATTTTTAAATTTTCCAAAATAAAAAGTGAAAACATGTATAGTATTCACCTAAAGTCAAGCGAAAGTGTAGTCTCGAGGTTCCTGGCTGAAGCAAACCAGTAGATGGTGGTGCGGTTCACTGGGGTGGATGAAGTGGAGCTGCATCCATACTCGAATGCGCCTGTGCATGGGCTAGCTTGGAGAGGGTTCCTTTTCACCCCAGTGAAAGTTCTTCGAAGGTCAACCACGGGGATGAAAGAATAAATTTTGATTTCAACACCTTTAGTTTTCATTACTTGAGGGCATCTCCAGTCAGCTGTGCAATAGTTAGCAGCTACAAGAAATCAAAACCTCTGCCTTAAACAATGAGCTGTGAGAGGGTTTCTGGCTGGTAACCTTCCCCCTCCTGGTCCTCGATGGCCTCTGGGACACGGATCTGACTGACCACCGGGAACTGTCCTGCAGTGAATACTGTGCCCCCCCAGTGCTGCCTCCACACTTCTCACCCACACCCTCCCCTTCTTCTTTCCCGCTGTTTTAGTTCTACTGGGGAGCGATTTATTGACATCGGCCAGGCCTCGGTGGGTGTCACGGCTTTATGGTCAGCGGCAGGTAGGGTGTCAAGAAAATTCTGGTTCCCGTTTGACTTCCCCACCTTCTGACCGCAAGTCGCTTGACCGTTCCGAACCTCAAATGCTGCCTCGGAAAAACAAGGGTAACAACCGCGGCGACTTCACGGGGCTGGCGCGAGGATGAACGCGCGCAAAGGGTTCAACACAAGAGCCTGGCACCGTGCGAGCGGTCGATGGACAGGAGCTATTATTATCGCCAGCGCCGCGCCCTCCTCGGCTCCGCACCGGGACGTCGGGAGGGGAGAGCTGCCGCAGGAGCGGCGCAGGCTGCCCTCCGCCCGGTGGGTGCGTGGCCCCGCGGGGGTGCGGGGGGGGGTCCCGCGGGCGCGCAGGAACGACTCCGGGCCGGCCGGGGTGGAGGGTGGCGCCGGCCGGGTAGGGTCGGCCTAGGCGGGGGCTGCGCCGTGGGACCCGGGAACCGCGCGCAGGGTTGGGGCTGTGGGCTCACCGAGGCCGGAGGGTCGCGTGGGTGGGACCCTCCAGGAGGCCGCGGCCAGGGCCGCCCCGAGGAGCTCGCGCCCGCGCCCGCGCCGGCCAAGATGGCGCCCCTCCCCGCGCGCGCCCGCCCCCCGCGCGCCCCCGCTCCGGGCGCAGCCCCGCGGCCCGCGCGCTCCTGGGCGGGGGATGTTGTGATGGAGAAGCCGCCGCGGAGCCGGAGTCCCGCAGCCTGAGCCACCTCCGCCACCTGGGCCTGGGGCCTCCCCGCGCAGGTAGGAGCTGCCCCGGCCCGCGCCCAGCCCCGGCGGCCAGATCCCGACCCCCAGCGGCCCGCGGGCCCGCAGCACCTTTCCCGGGCGCCCCGGGTCCCCCGGCCCGGCCCCTCCCCGCGGGCAGAGCTTTCCCGAGCGCATTCCCACTACCTCCTGTCCTCCCGGGAGATTCCACTTCGGTCTTCACACCGTCCCTCCCCGACCTGTACCTCCTGCCCCTGCGGGAGGAATAGGGGGCGCGTGGGGGGACGCGAAGGGAGGGACGGTGGGGGATGGGGCGTGGGGGGAGGGGAGGTCAAGGGCTGGGAAGGGGAGGTGCAGCGAGGTAGGCAGAGGCCGCGGGTTTTCTGCAGTGTCCCAGGCCTGCAATCTGTCAGGCCGCATGCTGTCGCTCTCAGCGACCGAGCAGAGTGCCCGGGGGCCGGCTGTGTCCCCAGCGCGGCCAGGAGGCCTAGCGCGCACAGGGCCACTCAGGAGCGGTTCTCCCACAGCCAATTCGGAGGTTATTCCGAAGCGGTTTGGATTCTGCCTGTGCGTTTTTGCATTCCCGGACCCTCTATCGCAGTTGCAGCTCTCTCCACTCTTCAAGGCCGAAACCTTGTCTACACCTGCTGTGTTTATTGCCTCACTTCCCATTCATTCTTAAAGCCGCTTTACTGGGTCTTCTGTGTCACTCACCCACGGAAACTGCTGAAGCCAAGGTCACCGGAGACCTCCATGTGGCCATCCCCAATGGGCTCTCTCCTTCACCTTTTCATAGTATTCATTCAGTGACCGTGTCAACTGGCCCTCAAGCATTTTCCTGGTTTCTCTCCTGGCACTGTCGGCTCCGTCTCCATCTCATTTGCTACCGCTTTCCTCTTCTTTTAGATGTTGGCAAGGCTCTTCGTTCTGTCCTGAGCTATCTTCTCTCATTCTGCACTTTCTCCTTGGGTATTTCATTCATTCCCCAGGCTTCACACACACATGCTGATGATCCCCACATGCATATATCTGGCCTACACCTCTTTCCTGAACTGCGGATTCAATATCCAACTGCCCTCACGATCTCCGCTTGGAAGTCCAACAGGAATTCCAAACCTATAGATCCAGGCTGAATTAATTATCTTCCCTGTGTTCCCTCTCTACCCTTCTTCCAAGTCTGTTGTTACTTTAACACTCTGCAATGGCTACTTTCTAATCAGTTAGTTACCCAGGCTAGAATCCTGGGCAACAGTCTAGGTTAACCTCTACTTCATCACCCTCTACATCTAATGTCACCTAGTTCTGTCACATCCACTACCTAAATATTTTTCAAATCCATTTCTCTCCATCCCCACTGCTACCAAACTTAATCTAGGTTACAACCCTTTTTTTCCCCTTGGCTGGCTACTCTAATAGCATACCTCCCCTCCTTAAAAAAAAGCATCCATCTGGTCATTTATTCATTCAACAAATGCTATTTGAGCACCTAATATATACCAGGAATTGTATTGGGCACTGAAGATGTAATTATGAGTAGAATAGACCGGGTCCTTGTCCCATGGAGCTGACAATCTACAGGAAGGGAGAATCAGAAAAGAATAAAATTAGATTTAATAGATATCACGAAGGAAAGGTAGATGGTGCCTTGGGAACACACAAGAGCACAAGCTAAACTGATCTCGGGGGTAGGAAGAAAGGGTCAAGGAAGACTTCTCTGAGAACATGACATTTGAACTGAGACGTAAAGGATGAGTAAGAGTTAGGCTGAGAGGATAGGGGAAGGAAGTTCTAAGCAGAAGTGAAATCACATGCAAACACCTTGTGGAAAGAGACAATATGATGTTTTTGAGGAATCAAAGAAGGCCAGTGAGGCTGGAGAACAGAGCCAAAGCTGGAGAGGAAGGCAGGGGCCAGACCGAGCAGGACAGTTGAGACCATGTTATAAATTTTGGTCTAAAGGTCTTCGTTCTTGATGCAGAATGTTGATGGCAGTGGATGTGGGGAGTAGATCAAATCTAGAAATATTTTCAGAGAGAAAATTGTCAGTACCTAGGGATGGATTGAATATGGGGAGTGAGGGAGAAGGTAGTGTCAAGGATGGTTGACACTCCCTACTCAGGATGGTTGATCATATCATTCCATGAGCCAGTTAGGGGGTGGGCAAGAGAAACGTGAGTGGGCATGTTAGTTTGAGAAGCCTTTGAGACATCCAAGTAGAGATGCTGAGTAGAAAGAAATGTGCATGTCTGGAGCTCAGATGAGGGATCTGATGGAGGGGTAAATTTGGAAACCATTGCTATATAGGTGGTAACTGAGGCTATGAGTATGAATGAACTATATTGAATGGTAGGTGAGAAAGTCAAAAGGGCATAAGAACATGGGAAATTCCAGCTGGTAGAGGAAGATGAGCCAGCAAAGGGGTCTAAGAAGCCACCAGATAGAAACTAGAGTGTAGAAAGGACACCAGGAGACGTAGCATGTAGAAGCCATGGATGAAAGTTGGAAGAGAGGCCCATGGTGTCAAATGTGCAGAGCATACAACCCAGATGAGGACTGTGAGTGATTGTCGGATCAGTGACCTAGGGGCCATGTTGACCTTGGTAAGAGCTGCTATTGAGGTGTGTCAGGAGTGGAAGCAAGATTAGAAACGGATAAGAAGTGAGTGTGAGGTGAAAATGGCGGTTGGAGGATGTGCGGAAGAGAGAGAGCAGCAAGTGGCACTGGAGGAGGAGTGTTGGGTCAAAAAAGAATGTGTGTGTGTGTTTTAAGTTGGGAGATAGTAGATCCCATGGAGAAGGAGAGATTGATTATATAGAAAAGAAAATGGGTAAGCACTGGTATAAAATTCCTGGAAAGGCATGAAAGGAAGGAACCAAATGGTAGGTGAAGCAACTGGTTTTAGGAAGGAGAGAAAAGGATAGGTCCTGAAGTCAGCAAGTCTGTATGTTTGCGGACATTCCCGACTGATGGCTTCCATTTCCTCTGTGAATTAGGATTGGGTGGTCATCCTCTGAGAGGGTGGGTAGTGCAGGGGGTGGTCAAAGGAGAGTTGTATTCTTGTCTTAGCTAAAAAGTCCCTTCCTCAGGAAGGTCTTTGCTGATGTCTAGGCTAGAGTAAGCCTCAGGCTCCTACAGTGTCCTATTCTTCCCCCATCATAATACTCAGTCATGTATTCAACAAATAGGGGTGCTTTTAGGTGCCACGTACTATTCTATATACTGGCATTACATTTTATTGTAATGACTCGTTCAATGACTACTTCACCACTAGATTGTGAGTTCCATTGGGGAGGAACCATTTCTTTATTATTCCTCACTCTCCCCCATGCCATGCAAAATGCCTGGCATAAGCTGCCAGGTTAGAAGACCCTTGACCTTGAGCAGGATACCACTCCCCCTCTTAGTCTGTTATCAGTTTCTTCAGGTCTAGTGGCCTCTCTTAATTTCTGCCCTAAATTCCTTGCCCAACTCCCTGCCTTATGCCAGAACTTATTTGGCTCTTTCTATCCTTCAAGGGGACCCAGGGTTGGATAACCCTAATGAGAGGGGAGTAGTTGGGTCTGGAAGATATTGGGCAGCTGGGCATCCTTTGATCTCAAAGGCAGTGTGATCACCATCACCTCAGAACTTCCCCATTCCTCCCCCTGTACTTTCTGCCCTGCTGACCAGAGATGGACAATGCTGCCCAGGCTCTTTGCTGTCCGGCCTCACAGTGCATGTGCCCTTCCCAGGTTCCACTTCCAAGTGCTAAGGAGCTTGGTCCGAGCCTGACCTCTGCAAAACCCAGCTCCATACGCCACTGCCTTAGGGAAGCACTGGGCATGAGCTTGCCAGAGTCACGACTCTCCCACCTCCTGAAACTCATGGAGATGCCGCTCTTGAACAGCACAAGAGCCAGGATGTCGGTTTAAGTGAGCTCCCGTGCTCCTTTCCCCCTATGTCTCAGCCCACACCTGCCCTGCACCCCAGGCCCCTCTTACTTCCTTCTCAGGGACCCTTTACCATTCTCCAGCACCCTCTCTACACTCCCATTGCCCATCCTCAGCCCGTGGGGCCACACAGCTTATCTTACTGTCTCTTTCCAAAGAGTTTCAAGCTTCCTAGTGTCTCTCACCCTGTCTGCCTCACCCATCTTCCCTTCCTTCCACACTGAGGGCCAGCTCTGTGGCAGATGCACGGTGGACTCTCATTGTGAGTGGGAAAGTGAAGTTGAGCAAGACATGCTCTCTGATGTGCTGATAGGATGCAGTACTGGGTATTGTGAGACACAAAGGAGGGAATGGTCACTTGAGGATGGGGAGAGAGGACTGAACAAGAATAGACTTACTGCCCTAGCTGGTTTGGCTCAGTGGATAGAGTGTTGGCCTACAGACTGAGGGTCTCAGGTTTGATTCCAGTCCAGGGCACATGCCTGGGCTATGGGCTCCATCCCCAGTAGCGGTGTGCAGGAGGCAGCCAATCGACGATTCTCTCTCATTGATGTTTCTATCTCACTCCCCCTCTCCCTTCATTTCTGAAATCAATACAAATATTGATTTTTTAAAAAAAGAATAGATTTAAAAATATATATATTTTTTAAAAAGAATAGATTTACTGCTTAGGAGCTGTGACCACTGAGCCAAGTTTTGAAATAGGAAGCAGAGTTTCTCATGAGGGGAGATAGAATGCCAAGCTGAGGGCAAACAAAGAGCCAGGGCTGTGAGAGTGTGACATGTTCTAGAACCCACCATACATCACGTGGCTGGAGTGTAAGGTGTGAAGGAGGCAGGGAGGAGGAGGTCCGAGAGGTCATCTGCATTGGCTCAGGAGGCTTTTGGTGTCCTGCTAATGAGCATGGATGCTTTATCCTAAA